TCACTTTTTGTTATGATACTTTATATATATATATATATATTGTCATGATTTGAGTGAACGAATGAATGAATGAAAGAATGGATGGATGGATGAGTGGGTGAACGAATGAGTGAATAAATGGATAGTTGGATAGACGAATGGATGGATTGTTGGATGAATAAATCTATGAGCGAATGTTTTAATAATCGATTTTACTGATAAAAAAATCAGTGAACTAATGAATGAGTGAAAGACGGACTGAATAAATGAAAGAAAAACACCTAATTAATTAATTATTTATTATTAATAATTAACACGTATATTACACTAACTATAATTTGGTTATTATTATTATTATTGTTGTTGTTGGAGATGATGATGATGATAATTTGATTTCGTTTCATTCATTCATTCATATATTCGTTCCTTCATTCTTTTGACTATCTGACAACAGTGCCATAATTGGATTGCTTAGCTGTGAATGTAAGAACGAATGAACAAATGAACGAACGAACGAATGAATAAATGAATGAATGAATAAACGAATGAGTAATCAATGAACGAGAGAATGAAAGAACGAATGAATGAATGAATGTATGAACGAACGAATGATTCAATGAATGAATGAATGAATGAACGAATAAGTGAATCAATGAATGAACTAATGAATGAATCGATAAATAATGAATGATTAAGCAAACAAACAAACGAATGAATGAACAACTGAATGAAAGTGCCTACATTGTTATAATATTATGTTATATTATTGTTATTCTTCTTCTTCTTCTTCTTCTTCTTATTATTATTATTATTATTATTATTATTATGTTAAGTATTATGTAAATGATATTTTGAAGTTTAAGGCAATGTTTACTATCCGGTTACTTTACTTAAATGGCTTTAAGAATGAGTGAATGAGTGCAATGATGTAATAATAATAATGATGAGGATGTAATGATACTATATTTTGCTCTAATATCTTACTTTAGTTCTTTCCCTCTCTCTCTTTCCCTCTCTCTCTCTCTCTTTCTCTCTTTCTTTTTTTCTTTTTTTCTTTTTCCATGTTTCTTCTCTCTAACACAATAATAACATTAATGATATTACCATTAGCAGATCAACAAACATGGTCCAGCCAATAGGATATCAGGATTTGACGGAAGAGGAGTGTGACGTCATCCTTGGCGTCATCCAGAGAGATATGGAGTTGAGGAGGAGGGATAAGGACAGGATCGAGTGAGTGTATTGAATTGGATCGAATGGATGAATGGATGGACGGTTGATGGGAGGATTGATGGACAAAATGATTAATTATCATTCACTCATTCATTCATTAGTACATTAATTAGTTCGTTTGCTCATTTCTTCAATCATTTCTACATTCTTTCATTCAATTCATTTCTAGTTTCACTAATAAATTCCTCTACATTTAGTGTGGAGAAAATTGTTGAGCATCTAATTATGCATTCTGTGGCGTTGTTTGCTATTTTCAACTTTTTTAATTCCAACTTGTCTGTTTAGATTCAGTTTTAAAGTATTTAGATAGTAATAGTAGCTGCATCAGCAGTAGTAGTAATAGTATTGAAAGTACTGGTAGTAGTAGTAGTAGTAGTAGTAGAAGTAGTGGTAGTAGTGGTAGTAGAAGTAGTAGTAGTAGTAGTAGCAGTAGTAGTAGAAGTAGTGGTAGTAGTAGTAGTAATACTAGTCGCTTTAGTTGTAGTCTTAGTACTGCATCAGCAGCAGTAGTAATAGTATTGAAAGTAGTAGTAGTAGTAGTAGTAGTAGTAGAAGTAGTAGTAGTAGTACTAGTCGCTTTAGTATTAGTACTGCATAACTTAACTATATTTCAATTTTCAATTCAAATTTTGCATAATTATCTGAACAGTAATAATAGTAGTAGTAGAAGCAGTAGAAGTAGCAGTAGTAGTAGTTATATAATATTGGTGTACAAAGTGTATAATTAAGTTTCAAATATGCAAAGGCTTAATTGAATGTCAAACGCCAATGGCTTAAAGTTGACAGTGATAATAAGAACAATAATAAAAACCATATCAAATTAATAATAATAATAATATTATTATTATTATTATTGTTGTTGTTGTTGTTGTTATTGTTGTTTTTGTTGTTGTTGACAAAAGAAATGTAAAAAAATATTGAAGCAAGCCATAAAACACATTCTTGTCAATAATTCAATCAATGCATTGTCGTCATCGTCGTTGTCGCCATACAAACATACAATACACAAGCATACATACATACATACATACATACATACATACATACATACATACATACATACATACATACATACATACATACATACATACATACATACATACATACATACACACAAACATACATACATACAAACACACAAACATACATACATACAAACACACAAACATACATACATACATACAAACAAATATACATAAAAACAAACAAACAAACACACAAACATACATACATACATACAAACATACATATATACACATATACAATCAGATTACACGCTCAATATGAC